ATGGAGGAATGTACTTAATTACGAGCTTTAAAACTATTTGATACATATATAGAAAATTAAGTTTATAAAACATTCGTAAAAGGACTTATTAATGTCAGAATAAAAGTTTTAGCGAGAATTTCATTAGTATATCCGGGTTCATATAGAAAATATAAAAAATTTAATTACAAACGTTTTTAGTTAGAAATTAAGCAAAATATTAAAATCTTATAATTACTTATTTAAGTTTTTTCAATATTTTTAGGATCCCATACTGATAACTAAAATATTTAAATTTTTTTTGTTATTTCCTGGGATTCTATTTCATGATAACACAAGTGCAATTGGAAATAGCAATAATTATTGTTGTTTTCTCTCATGTTTCTATGTATACATAAACAATGCATATTAATATTGTTTTATACTATAGTCATAGAATATTACACATTATATATGACTATTTATGTTATCTTTGAAATTACAGGTATATTGTAATATACCATACTATTCAGTTTGAAAGAGGTAACTGCAAGATTATTGCAACTTCGATGCTTGCCATAGTGCTTCAGGTCGTCAATTTTGAATTACTTTACCAATTAACTTTCTTATATAAAACAAATTTTGCGATAATTTCTAATTTCCTTTTGCTAACTTCTTTTCCCTTGTACAGAAATATCAAGATTTCTTCAAGATTTATAAATTGATAGTTTTATAGGTTTACAATGCATATTAAGGTTACTTAAGCAAGTGATAAGGATAAAGTTCATTTATTATTGTAAGCAAATACAATTTATGGTATAAAAACTTTATCACTTATGAACAAGGGTTTTTTATGTATATTAATTGCATATCAGTTTAAAATATCTAATTCTATATAATAACCATAATAAACTTAACATTTAATCAATTCAACTATACATACATATATACATAATGTACATTAGTCATTTGCTTTTAATCCAAATTGATTCAAGTTCATGTTAAATTTTTTGTTTTTTTTTAAATTTACGAGTATATGTAAGTACTCTAAATTCTAAAGTATAATTATAACTTGAAATGAAAAAAAAATTATCTTGAATACGTATTTAGTACAAAGTTCATTTTTATAATTTTATAGTAGATATCTAGAATTATTTTTAATTAAATCATAAAAGTTAAAATTTACTGTAGTCATGTGTATATATCATAAAAATGAAATATTTGTAACTCAAGGAATTTCAATATAGCAGCAATATGAAGTTTTAGATAATATTGTACATTTACTTAATATTGGTCTATTATATGCAATAATATTTTTGTATATATGCATATGTACATATATATATACAATATATATTATTTTACATTAGTTAAAATATTCAATAATATATTTTTTTGTTTTAAAATCTCTTCAAGCGTTTATATTATAATTATTATCTAATATGTAGGTACTGCAGAATGTACAATGAGATAGTTATTAATTATACTCTACGTCAGTCACTAATTGAAAAATCTATTCGACAGTTGAAATCAACATTAATTTAAGTAATAAAATACAGGTATACTTTTATAAAATTATTATCAGTTGCAAATAAAACTATCCAATCATACTTTCAGTTTCTGCAGATTCATGACGAGCATGTCTGAACGAATTTTTTTTTGAAATTTCAAAAATTAAAAGTGAAAAAAATAATTTTTTAGATTCAAGAAATTATGATTAACATTCTTACCAGATTCAAGAAATTATAATTAATATTCTTACTCTCATAGTATACACAGAGTGTGTCGAATAAGATAGCAAATACTTTCAGGGATGATTCTTTGGTCAAAGTAACAGTCGGGAGCTTGTTTTACATGTTATTGATTGCTCTTTGTTTTCGGTTCTATAATGAATTAGATTTAAGTCATACTTTCTACTCCAACTCGTACAATTTTTTGCTAGTTAATTAATCAAAGAATCATCTTTGAAATTTTTTGAAATTTTACGTGAACAGTCCTGTATATTTGAATATTTTTAGTAAAATCTGCTGTTAGAATTATTTTTCAAAGTTATTAAGATTTTTTTCAAGTACCTATATTATGTACATATAGGCGATTAGAATAGTTCTTATATTGTTTGAAGATAAATGAGGAAAAAAAAAACATATTGGAATTTTTAAAATTGACTTACTTTAAAATTCATACATTAAAATTCAATATGGAAATGTTGTATATACATATATATATGTATGTACTTATGCTAATAATGTGAAGCTGTAGACATTTTTAGCTTCTTAATATTCTTACAATTTTCTATTTATTTAACTAATTTACTTTCAAGTAATCAACAATATATTAAAGCAAACTAAAACCTGTATTTTTATTAGCAAATTTATTTTGCAATTATATTTAGAAAAAAAAAATTAATGTGTGTAAATAAAAATAAATTTTGCAAACTTTACAATTGATATATTTATTTATTTGTTATGTATATATGTATGTATACAAAAATTTATTTAATTTTAATGTCGTGAAATTAAAAAATTTAAATTAAAATAATTTCCTTTTTTGTTTTGTCTTATATTTTATTAATATAATGTACAAAATATAATAAATTATATTACCATATTATAAATACTTGTGCTAAATATTTTAATATTTATTTATAAAAACATCTATTTTAATTTACATACATGCATATTTATATATATTTATTTGTTATTATTACCATTATTGAATAAAAAGATAAGGAATTTTTTCAAGATCACACTTTTGTTTTGTGCTAAAAAATATATATGTATTTGAAATGTACATATGTAAGCTAAGCTCAAAGTTCAAAAGCTATTGTACTGATTTTTTTTCATTGTAGGTATAGTACACATTATGTATAACAACAATGCTCACAGTGATGCAATCAAAATTTCAATATTCAATTCTAAATAGGAACTGGACTTTTTTGCTGGACTCTTAAGATCGATTTTACATTTTTGCGCATATAAAGTTAAATAATTAACAAATTTCCTTGAAATTAAATATTTAAATTCGGGGTATTACAATGAACCTATAAATTTTTTGGAAAAATGAAGGCTTGAAAATCGAAATTAACATTATAAAGAATTTTTTAAAACGCTTTTTTATTATCTTTCTGTAACACCTTCACAAAATTAAACAATATACATTGCAGTCGGTTATCTGCTGACTATACATCAGATTTTCTTTTAGTTATCGCAGTTTGATTTTGACAGTAACTTAGCAACTAAAAATTTACTTTAAAACCTCAGCGCAAATAAAAATGTACAAGGCTTTGCAAGAAATTGTGAAAATCCATGTAATAAATATTTTTTTTAAACGGATTGAATTCAACACTATTAACTACATAACTGATATTTTAGAAATATTTATTTTAATTACCATATTATAGGTTTATAATTTATAAACAGACTTAATGTATGTTTCTAGAACTTTATAAATTTAAATATTTGAAAAGATTTAAATGTGAGTGGTATGTAAAATTAACTTTTTTGTTTACTTTGCATAAAGAAGATCAACAGTTTTTAGAACAAAAATTAAAATTGAGTATAGCTTCTACTTATAAAAGAAAAGTAATTATTAAAGCCCACACATACATATTATGTATACATGATTGCTTAATACAATGTAGTATAAAACAAAACTTACACTTTTATTTTATTTATTGTCAATATATTTAATTTTAATATATAAATGTGTGACAAATATTTTACTTGTAAATATAATTATGTATATATTAATGTGTTTACATTATTAATCAACTCATATTACTGCAAACGTGATTATTCATCAATATTATATTATATATTTAATTTTTTTGTATACATATTTAAAAATAATAATCTGAGAATATAAGTTTAATGAATCATGTCAAAAAAATAATTTAAATTTCATGTGTACAAAACATATACAACACATAAGAGCTTCGAAACAGAGTTTATTTATTTTTGCAACAAAAGAAAAATTAAAGAATAATGTACAAAAGTTTGAATTCATTAATTGTATGGGGTAACTACGAGCTGAATTGTGTTTTAATAATGTAGCGTTGCAATTTCGGAGTAGGGTAGTTCATCCGTTTTCAATTTTATATAATTGAATTGCTTACTCTTTTTGTTTGATTACAAGTGGAAAATCAAATTTATTATACCTAACGAATTAAATTCAAAAATTAACCTATACTCATTGCAATTAATTATAAGAATTGATTACTATATTTGCGTTCTACTTACATGAAAAGAGAAAAAAATGTGTTAAGTTGAAAATAGTTTTGTAAATTAAACAAAAACAAAAACAATATAATAATGTGTTTTAATAGTTAGACCTAAATATTACTTATAAAATTTTAATTTCGAAGTAACAGTGACACGAGAGAATTTAATTAAATAAGTTTTATAACTGAATACAATTACTGGTCTCTTGTATCACTCAAATATTAAAATTCAAAATTTGGCATTACATTATAGAAAAGCTATTAAATCCATCTACCGGAAAGATTCTTACAATTAATCGTATTTAAATGATTGGCTAGTAGGTAAAAGCTATTTGACGCGAATTTTACACTACTTAAAGGAACACAACGTGTGCAATAAATGTAATCAGTGAAAAAATTAAACTTTTTAATATAAAACTAAATATTCGGTGTATTTTTAATAATTTAATGATTTTATTCATAAATTAATAATTTATTTGAATAATTGTAATTATTATTATCTACATATGTACGTGTATAATTCTTGTATGTATATATGTATGTATGTATATGTAGATCAAGCTATGCATTGTAGTAAAGAGTCATAATTTTGCTTTCATTCTTTGTTTTTTCTTTTGCTTTTTATTATATACTGATAAGATTAATTCCTTGTTTAAATTTAAAATAATTTGAAAGAAAAATAATAAATAGTAAGTAATAAATAATAAAATCGCGTATTAATAATATATAAGTATATCTATATTAAATATATGTATAACAGTTTGCATGTATGCTATCAAATAATTATTAATATAAATTTTTTTCTTTTTATTTTTCTGCTTAGTTTTTTCTTCAATAACTTAAGAATAAACTTAAAGTATACAATTAAATTGAATTTAAATGTGATTTTAATTTCATTGTGTTAATATCAATAATCGGGTGTCAACAAATTTAATTATAAAATTGATTTAATCGCGGCAAATTCGATTTGTAAATCGATTTCGGTAAATATAACGGGAAAATCAAATATCATTTGATAACATAAAATGGAATTAATACAAGGTGATGCTCGAGCTTTAACTGGTATTATGGTTAATCAAGAAGAGAAACCAGTATATAATGGTACGACAGTACCATTAACATCATCATCATCAGGAGCAGCAGCAGTATCGCCATTATCATGTACAACATGTAATAATAAAATAAAACAATATAATGCAAATGGACAAATACAGGAAATTGTTAATGTTATAAAACAACAAGATAAAAATGATAATAATGCAACAGATTTATTTTCGCAATTACCAGCTAGATCACCAGTTGATTTAGAATTTAAGGATTTATCATATACGGTTAATGAAGGATTTATTAAAAGAAGTAAGTAATATTTAAGTGATTTTTTATAATTTAATCAAAAAAACATAATTATTAATGTTATACAATATAATGGTGAATATTTTTAATGAAAATACTAAAAATGGATATTGGGGACGAAAATTATTCAAAAATTATAAATTTAATTTTAAAATTGTTATACTGAGCCAAGATTTCAAAAACAATAAGGACTATTAATTTGTTTAAACTTAATTTAGGCTTAAAATTTAAAATTAAAATTTTGCCGTTATTTTATTTAGTATTTACCATAACGGTAAATTTGGTTATTCTAAATGTATTACAAATTTTCTAAGAATTTCTGTTTGACAAAAGATTTTATAGTAATATAACAATTAGATTTCGAAAAATTTATTGATAAAATTATCCGTGAATTCAAACAAGATTTCCAATTTTAGTGAATTAAAACAAGTTTTCGATTAATTAACATTGGAATTATAAGTACTGAAATTTTTAAAATTGCAAAAAATTGAATTATTTAAAAATTCACAGTTCAAGTATAAAAAAAAATATTGATAATTTTATTTAAAAAACGTAATAGAATTATGCATTTTACAAATAATCACGTATTTAATTCGTATACGCAGAAAAATCTCTTCCGTCTTTAAAATTGTTCACTTGAAAATTTTCATAACTTTAGAAAAAATTATGTGATTTAATATATAATTAAATTTTTCGGAAGAATAATGAAAATTTTTACTAGGTTTGAAAAGAAAAGAGAAAATGATAAAATCGGAATTAATTTAATTTAATTTTCTTTTAAAGAACCGAACTCTTCCTACATATATGTGACGTAGTATATTGCATCTATTTAAAGGTTGCTTCTTGAATTAAAGAGAAAAAATTAGATTTTTTAAAATTAGTTCATAATTTTGTGAATTTTCTGAATAGAACTGAATTATTTAATGTCGAAGACTGGCAAATCACTATTAAATTTTGGTAAGGTTGCCAGTTGTCATTCAATATATTATCCAAAATGTAATCGACACTCGTTTATTATGATGATGATCTGAATACGGTAATAATTTTTCCATTTAATAATTCTGACCTGCATTATAAATTTTGTTTTTATAATTTTTAAGTTAATAAATGAATTTACGTCATTTTAAACATCAGTAATTTACGATCTATTATTGAAATTGTAAAAACAACTCGTATACATACATATATTGAATTTATATAATATTTATTTGCAATATACGTATAATATGCATTATATTAGAAAATAATAATAATTAATTATTATTTCTAATTATTATAATTCTATTATATTAATAAAATGTTATAATTTGAAAGTTTAAATTGAAATTTTTGAAAATTTTCCAGGCAAAATGCTATAATCTAATCATTTTAATTTTCAATCTTATCATACAATAATATCATTTTGAATAATAAAAAAAACGAAAAATTATTATTATATTACATATATTTGTTTGATTATTATTTGCAAGGTAAAACAAAGTACGTATTGAAGATATTTTTATTATTTCTTTATATTTAAAATTGAATTGAATTTTAAGCTTATTTGCACGTAATTTATATAACGAAAATAATTAAAAAAGAATCAACGTGCGTATAAAAGTAAATTTGAGGTTATGATTTTTTTTTTCGAAATTATTTAATTAAATTAATTTTAATATTATTTACCAAAAATATTAATCGCCTCTTAAATAAAGTTTAAAGAAAATTGGTCTTGCAATAAAATATTTCAGAAATAATTTCAAACTGTTATACAAGTATATTAAAATAAACGGTGTAGGTTGGTAATATGTCCTAATTTATTTATATAAGTTAGAAATTAACAGGAAGATATTTGTTTTTAAATTTTATGTGTGTACTTCCAGTGAAATATATTTAAACACAAAATATAATAATTATTTGACAAACATTAAAATTGATTTCTCTATATTATTTTAGAAATTATTTAAACAAATATGAACCAGTAGGGTAATTAAATAAAATTACAAAACTCTTTTTCTAATAATCAAAAGTTAAAGAGTAAATAATTTTTAAATTACAATTAAATAATATAAAAATATATAGGAATAGAAATCTTGATAGTAAACTTATTGCACTTTGAAAATAATCTAATCTTATACATATTATACGTAGAATATAATACATAGGTATACTCAAAATGTTGTGATACCAATTTATTATTATTATACAATAATTAAATAGCAACAATATTGTAAGAATTTAAAAATTTTTTTTAAATCAATTTGTTTTAGATATTATTAATATGAAAAGTTAAAATGTTATAACAATTAAAATATATTATACACAATGATAATTATAAATATAAATATTGAGAAAATTTTGAAAATTGACATATTCGTTTGCATGTAATGCAAATACTAATTTTGTAATTGTCATAGAAAATTGTAACTTTGTTGTTTATAAATAATTTTTAAAATCAATTTGTATAAAAGTTTAACTCTTAATATTTTAAATTCAATTTTGAAATAAATGCAATTAATTTACCCGTAACATATATTCGTTATACGAGTATATACATTTAGGGCAAATGTCAATAACAATAACAAATTCTAATTTATAACATTTACCGCTGTTTCTCAGTATGTCAAAGATTTGGTGATCATGATAATTACGTCATTCGCTTAACTTTGCAAATGACAATCATCTGCAATTAAGTGTATTAAAATGCTTTCTTCATCATTCATTTTGTCATATAAAAAAATCACTTATACGAGTATGCAATAAGAAATGTGAAAAAAGAAACTAAAATAATAATCAGATGCGTTGACAACATACAATTCTAATTTATGATGCGTTCGTCATGTCGCATCAAAATTTTGTGGCTAGCGTTAGTTGCAAATCTTTGATATACTGTGAAACGGCCTACTTTTATATCGTGCTTAAGACGTAATTTTTTAAGGATTTCACTTTTATTATTAAATTGTCATTTTGACAAATAAGAAAAAATTCTTCAGTGTCACTTGTTTTTGATTTTTAGTTCATACTTTTACAATTTTCATAAAAGTTTATTCTTCTTTTAATATTAATATTAATATTATACTTAAACTTGAAAATTGATAAAACAAAATATTTAATAAAATTTTATAAAAGAGAAAATCAAGAACATAACGGAGCTTCAATGAGGAATATAAATTGAATCTGGACCGAAAATACAATAAAAATTAACCAAAAAAAAGTATTAAAAAGAGAAAAAAAAATAAGTTTATTGCGATTCTATAATATTTATTTCTTTGTACCACATACCATGTTTTTTTTATTATCACCCCTATGTTTACATTTATTTTAATTCATTTGTATATACATGTATATTTAATATAATGAATAAATTCAAAATTAAAGATTTAAAAACCATAATTAAAATACAATTTTATTTTAAATAAATTTTATAATTACATACATCTTATATATTTATATACAGTATAATACCAGTGTTTTAGGGAATACCGTTAAGGTTAAAGTTCTTTGAATTAAATAAAATTGGAATACTGAACTGAAAAATTAAAAAAATATAAAAATAAAAATATAAACAAATATAACAATTATAACAAATAATTTTGTTTTGATTTATTATCAAAAAAAAAAAAAAATAACCAGTTGTTTTTTTATATTTTAAAATAAATTACCATAAAATTTAGTATTAATTATTTTATTTATAAAAAAATCAAAACAAAATAGGATTCAAAATAATAAAATATATTTATATAAATACTGTATACGAACTACGCATATAAATTATAATATTGGAATATGTATTTGATGTGTGGGAAGCAATATTTGATTTGAAGTGCTAACTTTATTAAATGTCATTTGTAAGGTATAAAGTTCATAAAATTAATGAACTTTGAACAAATCCATTTTGATAAGAAAATCAATTTTATATAATAATTATCTTATGCATACTGTACGTATCAAATAATTATTAACTTTTGTATATTTGTGTACAATATGTGAAATTATAAATAAATTATACCACATATTAATTTTTTAATATAATTGTATGTAAATTTTTTATTCATACATATTTTCTAATTTGAAAAATGAAGCTATCTAGCGACGTATGTACCTATAGATTATGACATTTAATTTCATATTATTTCAATTTTCTTATATAAAATTATTATGTATACCAGTTTCAGTTTTAGTATTTTGTTCTTATCCTAAAGACGGTGAAAAGTTTAATTAATTTAAATAAGGAAATAATTTATGTATTTTATGTATGTAAATATACAGGCCGTTTCTCCATATAGAAAATGCGGGCAACTGACGTTGGTCATGAATTACAATGCAACATGCCGTACGCGTCATAAATTCATTTTATGTTGACAACGCAAATGATTATTATTTTAAATTTTTTTTTGCATTTCTTTAATAATGTTAATGTGTAAGTGAGAAATAATTTTTTAAAAAATATCAATTGCGAAAAATGCTTAATTGCAGATGATTGTTGGTCGATGATAATTTTTTATAAGTAAATTATATTTTTGACATTTGAATATATTTCTTTTACCGTAATTTCATTTAACTTATTAAAATGTCAATTTAATAAAATAGAAAAAATGTTGCAAATGTCATTGTCAAGAGTAACAGAAGATGTTATATTATTGTTTTGGGAATTATAATAAAATTATATATTTGCTAAGGGAATGCGTGATAAGCCTAATTTTAATCATTTAAAGCTATATTTGAAAGTACTCCAAGAATAGGGAAGAAGTACTTGTTAAGAAAAAGTGTTTTCCTCTATTGCTTAATCTGCAAATTTCATTATTATTACTTATATATTAATTATCCCATTACACAAAATTAGATAATGCTTTACTTATCGTAAAATCTACATTCACTGCTTGTTAATCTTTTCGTATAGTATTAAACATATTATTCACATTATATATGATATTTAAGTTTATGTTAATTAATTTCTTTAATAATTATTTTTTTAATTGACATAATTTCATTTTATATACAAAAGATAAGAAATTATATATTTTCTTTTATTATAATATGAACGAACAATGTAAAATTTATTGGAAAATAGTAAAATATAATAAAAGATAAGAATTTTTTCTTTATTTTAAATATTTGCTTATATTACAATAATATTAAAAATGATCTTTTAAAGAAAAAAATGTTGACTAAATAGATTATTTATTGATTAAAATTTGATTTACTTTTAAAATTTAATAATTTTATAATATGTAAAACATGTGCAAGATGCACTCATTACGTACATCGTATATTATTTACAATTTATAAGTCATTAACATCAATTATAATTTTATGTATGTATGTAACAATTATTGTATTATCATTCCTATTTAAATATGATATGGTGTAAGAGATGATTCTCATGTGTAATGTAGTTAATTACAATATTTATTGTAATTTGCAAATTTTTGCAAATAATTAATTATTGCCCGTAACAATGATAGTAGGTAATTCAAGTTTTCTTTGCATTACAGAAAAAAATTTCAAAAATTTTAATTTTATTGTTAAATTTTTGTCCTTGTACGTAAAAAACTAAAATCTTTTTACGTTATTGAAGGTAAAACTGGTGAAATATCGCAAAAAAATATCTTTTTTTGACATTATTAAACGATAAAGCTTTATGTTTCTCTCTCAATCGGTAATTATGCTGTGTAAACACCTAAAAGACAAAATTTTTAATATTATTGTATATGTAAAAAATATTATTAATCATTTTTTGTTTTTTTTTTTGCGAATTATTGATTTATGGAATTTATTTTTGGATAATTTTTTTTTTATGCCATCATACTGTGCAATTTTGTAAGGTCATTTAATAAGACAGTTGAATACGATAATAAAAGTAATCATGTAACTATATGTATATAATAATTCCTTTTGATAAATGCACAGAAAATTTTGAGGTTATGTTGCCAAGGTATATTTTTGTTCTTGTTGAAGTTTCAATTTCATAATTTTCGTTTTTAAATTCCATTGTTTTGTTATAGAAAATTTAAAATATTGACAAAATATAAAATATTAATTATTTTGTCTATGCCTCCATATATATAGCTCCAAAAGAAATCCTTCATAATGTTGGTGGAAAATTTCCTGGAAGTCAACTTATTGCAATTATGGGCCCATCTGGTGCTGGTAAATCAACATTATTGGATGTACTTTCTGGTTTTAAAACAACTGGAGTTACAGGAGCAGTTCTTATGAATGGTAGACCAAGAGATTTAAGTAAGTATTTTAATATTCTTTTTATTTTATATAGGTATAGTAAAATATTAATAAAATTTATTTTGAAAAATTTTTTGACAATTCTTATTTATTTCTGTATACATAGATGCCTTCAGAAGACAAACTTGTTATATTACACAAGATGATAGACTTCATGAATTATTAACTGTGGTTGAAAATATGAGATGTGCCGCTGAATTGAAATTAGGAAAAAATTTATCATATGAACTTAAAGAGAGAAGGGTAAATTTGTTTAAAAAAAAAAATTGAAAATTTGAATTGGGTTATTTTTTTTTTGATTATGTTTTAGATAGAAGAAATTCTTTTGATACTTGGTCTTTATGAACATTCTGATACTTTAGCTAAAAAATTATCTGGTGGTCAGAAAAAACGTTTATCAATAGCATTAGAATTGATAAATAATCCAACTATAATGTTTTTAGATGAACCTACAACGTAAGCAGCATAGTCATAACAGACAAGTTTTGAGAAATTTATATATTTTTATATTTTATATCTATTGACAGTGGATTAGATAGTTATTCATGCTGCAGAGTTATAGATTTATTACAAAAATTAGCAAGTCAAGGAAGAACTATAATTTGTACGATACATCAACCGACAGCGAAACTTTTCCAAAATTTTGATCTTGTCTATGTTTTATCAGCCGGAAAATGTGTTTATCAAGGTGGAACTTCAAAATTAGTGAAATTTTTACAAGAAGTTGATTTACCATGTCCAAAGTATCACAATCCAGCAGATTATAGTGAGTATATAGAAAATAGAATTTTCAAGAATTGTGACATTTATTTTAATATAATCATAATTTTTAGTTATTGAATTAGCATGCCGGGAATATGGTGAAGATAAAGTTGATTATTTGTGTAAAGAAATGCAAAATGGTCGTAATATTGAATGGTTTGAAGATCCTTCGAAAATATGTAAAGCAGAAGATCTAATGAGAAAAAACCCTGTGCCACCAAAAACAAAAGCAAGATCATTGGAAGATACAACAACTTGGAATCAAATTAAAATTTTAATGTACATGGAATTTATGAAATTGAAACGAGACTCGACCTTATCACATTTGAGAATAGCTGTTAATATATTTTTGGCAATTGTTTTAGGACTTTTATATATGGATGCTGGTAATGAAGGTTCAAGAGTTGTTGATAATTATTATTTATTATTTGCTATTTTAATGCATCATTCAATGACAACAATGATGTTAACTGTATTAACGTGTAAGTTAATTTTTTGTTTTAATTGTGTAAGTTTTTGAAATTTTTTAATTAATTTTTTATTTTTAGTTCCAATGGAAATGAATATTTTGTTAAAGGAACATTTTAATAGATGGTATTCATTGAAATCGTATTATGCTGCAGTATCGCTTCTTGATTTACCTTTATCGGTAATTAAATATACAATATTAATATTTTTGTTACAAATTTTATAATATTTCCAACTTTTTTTCATTGTAGACATTTTGTTGTTTAATTTTCACAATTATAATATATTTCTTAAGTGATCAACCACTGGAAATGTTCCGTTTTGTAATGTTCTTTGCAATCAGTTTATTAATAGTTTTTATTGGTCAAAGCACAGGACTTATTATTGGTGCTTGGTTTAGTGTTGTGGTAAGAATATTTTGAATATGTTTCCAAATCTTTGATTTCTTATTTTGAATTTACTTAATTTTCAATTTTGGGTTTAATTAATTTGTGTTATTTTCGCAATAACCTACATATTCAAATTGTAAGGTTTTAATATTATTTTGTTTCAACAAATTTTCAGAACGGAACATTCTTTGCTCCAGTTTTAATGGTTCCAATTATGATGTTTGCTGGCTTTGGTGTTAATCTAAGAGATATTCCATATTATTTGAAATGGGGCACACATTTATCATATTTAAGATATGCGTTGGAAGGATATGTTGGTTCAATTTATGGTGAAAAAAGAGAAGCTTTAGAATGTGAAAGAATGATATACTGTCATTATCGGTAAAATTATATTTAAAAAAAAAAAAAAATGTTGTAATTACAATTTATTATCTTTTAGGCATCCTGAAAAATTTTTGTATGAAGTTGCAATGAGAGGAGACAAGTTTTGGTTTAATTTCTATGCTTTAGTAATTATTATAGTTTTATTACGGCTTGGTGCATATGTTGTCCTTAAATTAAAGATAAAATCTGAAAAATAAACGACACATGTATTTTTAATTTTTATATAAGACAAATCAACTGATTGTATTTTTAATTCGTGTTTAATGATATTGTTTTAATTATAGTGTACGCGGTTGGTGTTTTTAATTTTCATTAAAATATTATCTACCTTATAATTTTGTATATTAATTTTGTATATGTATGTTTGTGTATATAATTATTGCTCATACTTTTATTTTATATTAAGAAATACCAAAGTATAAATTATTTGTAATTTTTAGAATTTAGGCGATATTAAAAATTTCATTATAATGTTATTAGTTTTATGAGTAAATTTTTTATATATCTGAAATTAGTATGAAAAATTAAAATAAAATACATTTTTTTAAATAAAACATTTAAGTATACTTTTATTTATTTTTTCATTTCAAGTATATAATAAACTTTAAATAATGAATTATTAATAAAGTCGTTATAATAAACCACAGATCCTGATTCCTGATTTAGTTAAGCTTACTTAATTTACAACATACTAGTGTGAGTCTTTCGAAATTTATAGTTTACGAGGAGAAATTTCAATTCAAAAAGTCTGAATTTTAAATTTAAATATTTCATTTTGGTAATTTACGAAGAAAAACGGTATTTTTTTTACCGTTAAATCTAGGAAGTGTGCCTATGTGTAAAATAGTAACAATGTAATGGTTCAACAGCTAAATAATTAATTAATCAGTCGCTAGAGTGCGCGAATAGTAGGAAATTGTAGGAAAAAGCACTTAATCATGTTATTCTACATAAATAAGAATATAATATTAGTGGAAATTATTTTATTACATTCCACATTTTAAATATTTATTGAAAATAGATTCTATTAGGTTCCAAGATTTGAACTGATATGAGACCAAGATTTGAACTGATTTTCTAGTTCTTGCAAAATACTAGGCGTTTATCAAAACAATATAAATGCAATATAAATCTTTCCGCCTAAATAGCATTCATCCCTTGATTTCTAAGTAAGATTTCTGTGTATATGCAACAAATATAATTTCTCGTTTTCTTGCATATGTTATGTAGTAACATTTACAGAATGTTTTAAAAATTAAATTTTATTTTCATCAAAAGATGTCGCTAGTCCGTGTATTTTTTTGTGAATTATTCAAAATTAGAAAGACATGAATAAAAATAAAATTCCTAGTTAATTTTTGTTACAATTGTCAAAAAAAGAAATTTATCCCATTCAATTATAGGTTATAGAATGCATTTGGTTTATTTTTCCTCTTAGTTCTTGTGAGTAAATTTTGTTTATAACTATGTTTTATAATTAATGAATTGCAATATGAATGATTTTGGAATAATATTTAAATAAAAATGTAAACTGAATGTGGAACCTTGCATTGAAATAACACTAAAATGTAGGCCTAATGTGAATTTAAGTTATGCATTTAGAAATCAAAATTGCATTTTTTTATTAACGCATTTAGCATTTAGGTAGATTACATACTAGATGCAAGTAAAAATAATTTCAATGTTTATTTGTTAAAGTAGATTCTTTGATTTTAAGTTTTACGTTTTAGAATGAAAATTTTAAGTCCTTTTGATTATTTTAGTTGAGGTCGAAATGAAAAATTCAAAACATATTTTTTTTAATTAACTTTTTTATGTATATGTACATAAAGATAAGAGTCAAACTCAGGGTCAAGGTCTATTTCGTAATGCGAATTGTATCGGAGTCAGAGTTAAGGTCGAGATCTGGATTACGGTTAGCTTTAGTGTCAGGTTAGCAATCGGTGACGCTCAGAGTTATGGTCGGACTTCAATTTTAAAGAAAATTTATGTTTTTGGAAAAGAAATGGCATCATTTATCTCGTTCATATAGCAGTATTAAGTGTACTAGAATCATTACTTGACTTGAAGCCGGCTTCATTCAATTCAACTAAAACATATTGATTTTTTTTTATTCTACGCATAGGGCTAGTGCATGATTATTGTAAATAACCATGAACCGGTTTCTGAAGTCATTGAGTTTACTAGGTAGGTGATGAACAGTGTCTGAAACAGTTTTGATTACTTAGTTTTAAATGTAATAACAAAACGTCATTTTCGGGATTTCAAGCTGACATAATAAAAAAATAGTTTGAGTTACGAGATAATTTCAAGTCATATTACTTAAACTGTCATATAAACTAGATGATTATTGTTCTAATCTGGTTAAAGAAAAAATGTATATAATTTATATTATTGGAATATTATAAATGTTAAAAGAATATTATAATGTAATTGAAAAGTTTAAAAAAATTTGATTTGAAATTTTTGATAAATGACACTACACTGTAAACCGTTTTTATACAATATCACCTAGTAAATGTAAAAATAGAAGAGAAAAAATATATATGCTATGTATGTATGTATATTTTTTGATGGCAGGCGAAATTTTATTAAAATTTTTTTGTTTTTGTTGTTGTTTTTAAAGAAACGAAAAAAAAAAGCACCATAAAAGAATTCGTTTTGAATCGGAGTGTTTCAGTTTTAGAGTGTTATTCATTTTGAACGGTACAATTAAAAAATAATATTATAATTTTTTAACGGTAAAAGCTCGTGCATTTTTTTTTTATTATTTTTTATATTTTATTGTGTGTTTTCCTTTTTTTTTCTTATTTTTTAATTATATATTTCATTCGTCATAAATCTTTTAATTATTTTTTTTTTTACGGTATATAAAAACATTCGATATAATAAGAAAAAAAAATTTTTGTTTATTGTTTTTTTTTTTTTTCTAATTGTTAGTTTTTTTTTATAACAATTTAAATTCGATAAATTTTTTGACCTAATTCGGTATATATACGGTTATTTTTGGTTAAAATTTTTTTTGTTTTTGTTTTTATTTATTTACAAAATTTTTTTGTTTATAATTTTGAATGGCTGCTTACCAATTCCTTTAAAAAAAGTTTTTTAAGTTATTTTGAAGAAAAATAAAAGTTTTTGATTTTTTTTTTTTCTAAAATATACTTTACTATTATTGTTAATTTGTTATACTACTTATATACATAAATACAAATGCACATGTTTGTTAAATGAATGAGTTTGTTATTTATACATACATATATATGTATGTACATATATTTATATTATAGAAGAAAAAGAAACAAAGAAAGAAATAATAATTAATTAATTAATTCAATTTTGAATAAAGGGTCTTTGAAAAGTGAATGATTAATATTAAAATAAAACAAAAATTTTAATATAACAAAAAGAAATTTACTAAATAAAAAAATTTAGTAACTGCATACAATTTTATGAAATTTATATATATGAATGACGTTTCTGTAGAAGAATATTGTATATGTGTTATACATAATACATAATATTGTTATACATGTGAAATAAAAGTGTGATATTTATAAAAAGTTCAAAGAAACACACAAATATAGCAATTATATATTTAAAATAAATTCATAATTTTTTTTTTTTATTTTAGTATAACACGTTATCGATTTCAATATAGGAAGAAGGTACTTGCATATACAATGCAATTGTAATAAAAACAAAAGAAATTTTTTTGTTATACACATACTTATTCTTTCAATATTAATTATTTTTTATATTTTTCAATTGAATTTTAAATTATGCAGCAGAAATTTTTAAATTGATTATTGTTTTTACATACAATAAAAATTTTATATTTTTTTTTTAATTACTTAAAATTGTGCGAATTTTATTTAGAATTTTTGGAACGAAACATTCTCTATTCGAATACTTGGTGGAGTATAAAATAAAATATTTAAATAAATGTGTATAAAATAATATAAAATCAAAACATTAAATAAATATTAAAAAAATTTTTTTGATGTGTATAAAAAATTAAAAATTAAAATAAACAAAACAATATTTAAATCCTTAAATGATTTTAAAAGTTCTAATTTAAGAAAGTTTTTCAATCATTATATTATTTTAAAAGTAAGTCGAATGTTTTTATATTATTATTATTGTGTTGTAATCCTTAAATACTTCTATAAACATATCGTACCTTCTATTACATATCGTACCTTGAGAATATCTCTAAATTTATAGTTTCGAGTAAATGGAATTTAATGTAACGCTATTTTCATATAAGAAATTAAAGCCCGAAACATTTAAAAATAAAGCGAAATATTTCGGTGATTAAATAAATGTAGGACTAAAATATTTTGAATTACTGCGTTTTATAATTCTCAATTTCTTTCATCAAATTAGTATAAGTCGAAATGTTGCTGCATCTGATTTGAGAAAACTGTGCTCTAATTTAATATGTGGCAGTATTAAATTAAAATATTTTTTGACTTTGATGGGTGATATTACAAAATGTCATGGTATTGAATTTAACAAAAAATATACTTTTTAAAAAAATAGTTCCGAAAACGGAACACACAAAATTTTTGATGTAAAAGCAGTAATTTTTGATACATACATAAGTATATGTAAATGAAAGTGTATATCGTTGCGTGATTTAAGGTAAAATTCATATAAAAAAATATTTTGCGCTTTCAGCTACATTCCTATAGTTAAAAAAGTAAAAATTTTCATATGTTTGCGGTATTATTTTCAAGTTGCGATATGTGTTTCGATTTTATATTAAATTATATATTAATTATTAAGTATATATCGTTTATTTGCTGGAACACTGACAGAACAATGTATAACTTAATTTAGCATATTTGACAAAAGCAAATTTTAAAGTTTCGGAATTAATATTAATTAGACATGGTGTTATTGCAAAAAAAATAGAAACTATTTTAAGTGCTTATTCCTTTATATCTTAGAAACCGTTATTTTGGAGTTATATTATTGTTGCAGCAAACGATCGTGATCTACAATATATGTGCATTTTTATTAAATTTTAATAATTTTATAATTTGAACATTTTGAAAAGTTTAGAATTACATATTTCGAAAACGTCTTCATTTAAAATTTTATGTATGTCTGTATAACGGTATATATAAGGTTCCTTGTCAATTTCATGTGATCTTTACGGTAATATGAAATTTTAATATGGTCTTTTCTTTAACGTACAAAATAAATGGTCCCTAAAATAAACAAACAATATGGTTATTTTTTTTAGTTAAATATTAATTTTTATTAAATAAAATGCATGTATGTTGTATGTATGTGCATTTGTCATAAATTAGTCTGAATAAAAACAGTCACTTTTGAATAGTAAGAATATTGAAATATTAAGAATGTAGCAAAAAAAATATTTTTTATTTGACTAGCAACATACAATGCAAATAATTGTGAATTGCGAATATTGCCATTGAAATTAAACTTTCTTTTTACATACTTATTGTACGTATGTATTTTATATGTATATTTTGATAATCAATATTGTATTTATTATTAGCTATAGGGTGTGAAATTTATATTCTATTATACTTATATACAAAAATATAATCAAATACTTAATAAAATATTAAATACCAATGTTATAAATAAATATTTTGAACATCCAAAACATACATACAAATGTATGTTCACGTGTACATAATAATTATATAATCATTTATGCAGGTATATATCATTACTTATAGATATTTATACATACAATATAACTCTTCAGTTTTACATACATATATAGGTACACACTATCTATACGTATGTATATTATGTTCAATCGCTTTTGCCGGAACTTTCAAAATAAAATTAGCAAAATGAAAAACAGCCTTTAAACTTTCATATACAATAATAATATTCAATATTGACGTATTAATGATGAAATTTTATTGAATATTTTAATAAAAAAATAAAACCGTTATACACAATTTTGTATACTATACTTGCATGCACATGTGTTTCAAACACACCTAAACATACCATTACCATAATATGCAATATAAGCAATATCAATATTTTTCAACATTATTATTTTTATTTGTTGTTCGAATACTTATGTATAAAATTAATTTTTAATTTTATGTAAATAATATTAAAAAGTTTTTTTTTTCCGTTTTACACTCATCCATATATTTACGAATTACATATACATATGCACCACAGGTATGTTTTTAAATAGATTTAACAGTGGCAAAACTATGGAAGTTAGAGAAAAATGTTATATAGATTTACTTTTAGCTATCATCGTAGCCATAGAGAAATAAGTAATCCTTACTTACTTATTTTTCTATGTCGTAGCGCATTGAAAAAAAAAAATAAAAAAAAAAGGTTTAACAAAAGTTTTCGAGAAATTTCGAGTTTTGTAAAAAAAAATTCAAAAACAAAAAAAAACAAAAAAAAAACAAAAATTCTGATTTTGGCGAGCTTTTTATCTTGAAAACTATGGCTCAAATAAAATTGATTGTCAAATCAAAAAGTAGAGAGTAATCAATCGCCTATAAAACAAGCTTCCGCTGGTACCTCTATGTCGTATGGTTCCGAAGTTATAAGCATTTTCTTATAAGTAGGAAAAACCTGGTACCTTTCTTTATAACAGGCTGTAGATCGAAAACGATTATATCTGCATTATCCCCCCCCCGTACAATTTTTTGCTGCAATTATTTGTCACGTTATGGGAAACACCCTATATTTATAGTTATATAAAATCAATTCAATAATGTTTGGGTACGTACATATAATAAAAGAGAATTAATTTGCAAGAATTATTGTGAAAAAGTTGAATTTAAAAAATTTTATTATTAAAAATAAGGTATGAATTCAAAATAGGGCAAAAAGTGAAAATTAAATAAAATCTATGTGTGTCTGTACACTTTTAGTATGGATTTATTTACATATATAGTTTGGATATTAAAAATGTATAAACATTATGTACATATGTATGTATGAACCTGTAAATTAATTGACAATTAAAACTACGTAATATTACTAAATATGTCAAGTTGACGTAAGAAATTTAAGAGAATATTATACCACTTTTCCAGGAAAATAGAGTGAGTACTTTAGTATTTTTGCTCACATAATTTACAAAAACGTTATTCTTGATTGTTTCATCTATAACAGTATATGACCAGATATTTCATTTTATTTCTCTTTAAATGTCAAAATGAGTTGTTCCGGTGTATTTCAATGTTAATTATTTGAATATTATTTAGCCATAAACATACATAAATGCATAAATTATAATAATTAAAATTAAGCAACTTTTTCAATAATACCAAAAGTATATTTTAGATAATGTACAATTAAATTACAAATTATAAATTATTTAATAATAAAATAAGTTGTATATATTTTATAGCGCACATGTACTGATTTTTATAATAGGAAATTTTGACAGTAGAAATATCTACCTAAAATTATAATTTGAATGTAATCAACTTAATCTGTAGCAAAAAAATAAATTCTCTTAAAAAATTATTAAATTATTGAACTAGATAGAATGTTATTATTATTGAATTAAGGCGGAACAAAATAATTGTGTCCTATGCGCCATCTACATTATGTATGCATTCACACTGATTAGAATATTTATGAATATTTTGTACATATTTATTTGAAATAATTTAATGAACTTATTTAATATAGGTCTATATTAAATAATTAAATATGTAATTAAAATAAATATATAATATTTTTCTTAATTATATAAATAATTATTTATTTTAAAAGTCAAATTTATTTCCGAAACGAATGACATGTTTTCATTGAAACTACTTATTATGTATGTATGTATTATGTACTTAATGTAAATATATTTGAGTGACTTTTTTCTTAAGAATCAGAGTGCAAACGTAATTAAAGTATGTTTGACATAATATATTTTGTTCGGTCATTATAAAAATTTTTATTATCACTGAAAAATTTCAAAAGATTAATGTTTTTAATTATAATATATAACAGTAAAAACAAGAATGAAATATATATAATTGACAACTGAAATAGTTTAGATTTACGTATGTTATTGTATATAGAGAATGATATATGTACAAATATTTTATAATAATGTCAGTGTAAATGCACATACTGGCGAAATGTTGATAATTTAGAAAATTAGCTATGTGTCTTTTGTCTTTTTATTCTATATATTATAAAATGATAATGACATTAACTTATTTGAATAACAGTCATTATATTCCTCTTGATAAGGATTTTATAATATTTATATTATTTAAATATGGAGATAAATTTGAAAAAGGAAAATTTGCAATAGAATTAAAACAAAAGAAATAGAAAGCTGTATAATAATTTACAAATATGGATTGTATGTATAACAAGATTTTATAATTATCAATATAATTAAATTTGTTATATATACTTAGACATTTTATTTACTAAAATATTTATTTAAATCTTTGCAAATTCTGTTTTATTTCTGTATTTGATGTGGTTTTTAAATATAATATGTATAATTACAAATTTAAATTGAAAAGAGAACAAAAACGATTTTCCGCGGCGAAATGTCAAAATCCAAATAGAATTCATTGTATAATATGAAAATAATGAATATTAATTTTACCGCTCCGCGGTTATCATGATTCCTAACTTAACAACGGAAATCGTCTCCCGTTGCTGTTTACCGCTTTGTTGTTGTTTTTACACTTATTGTGACAAAGATTTTTATTTTCTGTTATCATAATTGTATATTTTTAATTCGGTATACTTCAAAATTGTCATTTTGACATTTCACATTTATAATATGCATATGATAAGCATATATTTTGAAAAATTTTAAAAAATTAACATCTTATCATAATTAAATTTAAATAATTTTTTAATTAATTCGTAAATTTATTATTAATTAATTATTTCTCAATTTGTTTTTTTTTTTTAAATAAATTATCTTTTAAGCAAATTTATTTATTTTGAAATTAAAATTAATTAATTTTAATTTTATAGAAATGGGCTTATATTTTATCTAAATTATTAATTTATTTTCACTTTATATTAATTAAGATAATTATTAAGACAATTTTGTAATCAATATTTCAAAAAATAAAAGTTTATCAATTGCAATTTAATTCTATAATTAT